GAGCTCATTGCTCAAGGAACTCCAAGCAACCTCTGGGGGATACCTGGAGTTTCATGGAACCCTGGTTAAGAAACCCTGCCCTAGGCCATGAACAGCCCCATTCCTCAACATAGGCAGAAGTTTAAATATGCTTTTCTGAGGTGCACGGAATGTTTCACCATGTCTTTCCTACCAGCCAAATCTCTTGATCAGCCATTAATATAATCTGAATGTCTATGACTCAGAAGTGCTAACACAGACTATACCTAGCGCCGATCTCTAAACCCACCACAAATTTTGCCAAAATTTTAGATACCAACAGTGCAGTCACTATTTATAGGTTATATGTTTCCCTAGACACATTGTGCAAAGGCTGCCAAACCTGGCAGCAAGGGATATCATCTACATACTGTACATGTTTTTACAGTTAGGGCTAGAGTACACTGGATTTAGTGATCCGTTAAAGGAGAACTTCACTCATTCCCAATAAATGATTCTGCAATATGCCACTTACCTTTGGTGATCTTCCATTCAGGAAACATTTGCTCACAAGGTCAATGAATCCTGCATTATCCTGTTATCTCGAACTGTTCTTCTGCTGCAGGTGACATCTTGTGCTGTCATCTATGCCATCAGGATCCAGTTGTCTCAACCAGGATCTTCCAGCCAGCCAGAACCAAGTACAGCACCAAATGAATGATAATTCTCCTGGTGCTGTGGGGAAGCCTCCTGAGATATATGATGGCGGTATTTCAGAAAGCTGTAGTAGGAGGCTTTAAGTCATCCTCAAATAGGTGGGGTATGGCAGCAAAGGATGGGTTAACCATGATATATATTAAAAAATATGCAGTTGTTGCTGTTTCGGATATGGGGGGTAGATTGAGATGGTGTAAAGTGAATTTCTCAAGTGAAATTTTAGCTTTGCTTTCAATGCTCCATCAAGTCAATGTAAATGCATAGCAAATGCATCTCAAATGTCATCTTGAACCTCAAATGCCAATGTGTACAAGCAATGCAGTTGTATATTTAAGAATATTACATTAAAAAAACTGCAATCATAGACATTAACTCTTTTAAATTTATTTTAGCAAAAGAATAGTTGCAAAATGAACATTTCTGACACATTTACCTTGCCGTCGTCAGCAGCTACCCATCTGCCTTAAGCAATGTTTTAAAAACCACTACACCATACAGTGTTACACTGAAGTCCTTGTGCTGCTGGTAAGGATCCCTAAACACCCTACAATCCTCCTACTGTGGAATCATTTCACATGAACACCCCAGAGGACATTACACTATCGATCCCAAGAAGGCCACCGCACGTGAAATCTGCAATCTGGTTCTATTTCGGGGTGTCCCTAATCTCCCTGAAAACTTTGAGTCTAGCAGCAGACGGCAGTCAGAGAACATGCTGTACTCTGTCAGGAGGAGAAGAAACAGCCCTCCTCCCTGAGCTGGCTTGCTTGCTGCCTATTGCCAGTGCAATCATGGAATGTGAATACTGTAGGCTGCGGTTTCAACACCGAGCAACAGAAAAACTACCATTTTCAGCCATCGATCCTGTTCCGCGATCTGAAATGTAAGGGTGCTTCTCTACTGTGAAAAACAGATGACTGCTAATGAATCATTTGTCCTCAATCAAATGAATCACCTATGACTTGGCTAAAGTATCGGTCTGTCAAAAAAGCAAACGAAAAAAAACACAAAAAACGTGGGTGCTTCAAAAGGACTGGCCCAAATTTTAGGGTGCCTCCTCCTACAAAACCAATCAGTTGTGCACCTGCATGTACAAAAAGCATTTAGGTAATTAGTAAGCTTAATAATCTCTTAAATATTTCTGACTTCAAAAACCTTTCCTCTGAAAAAAAAACACTTGTGTATTTTTCCAAGCCCATTTTACTGCCAGGTACATGTCCACCAAGCTCAGTTTTTTATTTCCTGACCACTCCAAGTTTCCAACACGTTGTAGCTCTGCAGACCTGACCCAGAATCAAAAAGCATGTCTCCTATGATTCAATGTTGCTATTCCTGCTGTAATGTTAGTTAGGGACCAGATGATCCAAAATGTGTAACATGTTTGACTACATGTCAGGTAATGAAGAGGAGGGGTATTGCTGCCAGAGCTGGAAGTATTTCCCTGCACTAGCTCTAAATTAGATGTACAGTAAGGGCTTGTTCACACTAGCAAAGTGCACTACCGCAACAGCCACTGGTGTACAATGTAGAGCTACAGATATTGTGTGCATTACCACTGGTGTACAATGTAGAGGTACAGATATAGCGTGCATTACCACTGGTGTACAATGTAGAGCTACAGATATTGTGTGCATTACCACTGGTGTACAATGTAGAGGTACAGATATAGCGTGCATTACCACTGGTGTACAATGTAGAGGTACAGATATTGCGTGCATTACCACTGGTGTACAATGTAGAGCTACAGATATTGTGTGCATTACCACTGGTGTACAATGTAGAGGTACAGATATAGCGTGCGCTACCACTGGTGTACAATGTAGAGCTACAGATATTGTGTGCATTACCACTGGTGTACAATGTAGAGCTACAGATATTGTGTGCATTACCACTGGTGTACAATGTAGAGGTGCAAATATAGCGTGCATTACCACTGGTGTACAATGTAGAGGTACAGATATTGCGTGCATTACCACTGGTGTACAATGTAGAGGCACAGATATTGTGTGCTCTACCAGTGGTGTACAATGTAGAGGTACAGATATTGCGTGCATTACCACTGGCGTGCAATATAGAGGCACAGATGCAGCGTGCACTACCGATGGTGTACAATGTAGAGGCACAGATGCAAAGTGCACTACCCCTGGTGTACAATGTAGAGGCACAGATATTGTGTGCTCTACCAGTGGTGTACAATGTAGAGGTACAGATATTGCGTGCATTACCACTGGTTTACAATGTAGAGGCACAGATGCAGCGTGCACTACCGATGGTGTACAATGTAGAGGCACAGATGCAGCGTGCACTACCGATGGTGTACAATGTAGAGGCACAAATGCAGCGTGCACTACCGATGGTGTACAATATAGAGGCACAGATGCGGTGTGCACTACCGATGGTGTACAATGTAGAGGCACAGATGCAGCGTGCACTACCGATGGTGTACAATATAGAGGCACAGATGCAGCGTGCACTACCGATGGTGTACAATATAGAGGCACAGATGCAGCGTGCGCTACCACTGGTGTACAATGTAGAGCTACAGATATTGTGTGCATTACCACTGGTGTACAATGTAGAGCTACAGATATTGTGTGCATTACCACTGGTGTACAATGTAGAGGTGCAAATATAGCGTGCATTACCACTGGTGTACAATGTAGAGGTACAGATATTTGCGTGCATTACCACTGGTGTACAATGTAGAGGCACAGATATTGTGTGCTCTACCAGTGGTGTACAATGTAGAGGTACAGATATTGCGTGCATTACCACTGGCGTGCAATATAGAGGCACAGATGCAGCGTGCACACTACCGATGGTGTACAATGTAGAGGCACAGATGCAAAGTGCACTACCCCTGGTGTACAATGTAGAGGCACAGATATTGTGTGCTCTACCAGTGGTGTACAATGTAGAGGTACAGATATTGCGTGCATTACCACTGGTTTACAATGTAGAGGCACAGATGCAGCGTGCACTACCGATGGTGTACAATGTAGAGGCACAGATGCAGCGTGCACTACCGATGGTGTACAATGTAGAGGCACAAATGCAGCGTGCACTACCGATGGTGTACAATATAGAGGCACAGATGCGGTGTGCACTACCGATGGTGTACAATGTAGAGGCACAGATGCAGCGTGCACTACCGATGGTGTACAATATAGAGGCACAGATGCAGCGTGCACTACCGATGGTGTACAATATAGAGGCACAGATGCAGCGTGCACTACCGATGGTGTACAATATAGAGGCACAGATGCAGCATGCACTACCGATGGTGTACAATATAGAGGCACAGATGCAGCGTGCACTACCGATGGTGTACAATGTAGAGGCACAGATGCAGCGTGCACTACCGATGGTGTACAATATAGAGGCACAGATGCAGCGTGCACTACCGATGGTGTACAATATAGAGGCACAGATGCCCTGTAACCCTTTTTATTTTGAACTTTATTAAAATATCACAAAATGACTTTTTATTCAGTTCTATTGGCCACAGCGGGGTGGTGTGAACTGCCATGATAGGGAACAAGGCTTTTTCCATGTCTATGTGTTGGTCAAGGCTTTCCAGTGAAACCCAGCACATCTGGCGTGAACTGTCTACTGAAGGGCAGGACACATAACACATGAAGTTTTGAATGCTGCCAAGTCAGGCTGCTTTTTGTGGTTTCCTATCATGGGGAAGATAAGGGTGCTGCCATGGCAGGCCTCCTTCTGAATTTACTAGCTGCCTGGCTGTCATACCGATCCAACAGCTTCAATGTGATCCAAGCCCAAGACAAAGTAGACCCAAGTTCATTTTTCGAAGCCTTGCCACTAGCAAATTAAAAAAAAAAAAGAGAACAGCAATTGCAGGCCCTGCATTGTGTGACCATTTTGCTTTTAACCGCAATTTCCAGCTTTCAGCGCTGTCACATTTTGAGTGACAATTGCGTGGTCATGCAACACTGTACCCATATGAAATTTTTATCATTTTTTTGTGACAGATAGAGCTTTATTTTGGTGGTATTTAATCACCTCTGGGATTTTTATTTTTTCTTAAACAAACCAAAAACTACTGAAAATTTTGAAAAAAAAAAAACACGTTTTTTCTTAGTTTTTGTTATAAAATATTGTAAATAAGTGATTTTTCTCCTTCACTGATAAGCACTAATGAGGCTGCAGTGATGTACACTGATAGGTGGCACTGATGGGCACTGATGAGGAGGCACTGGTAGGTGGCACTAATGAGCATTGACAGGCATCACTGATGGGCACTGAAAGTCAGCACTGATACATGGCATTGATATATAGCACTGATAGGCGGCACTGACTGGCACTGTTAGGCGGCACTGACTGGCACTGACTGGCACTGATAGGCAGCACTGATTGGCATTGATAGGTGGCACTGACTGGCACTGATGGGTGACACTGAAAGGCAGCTCAGATAGGCACTGATATGTGGCATTGATGTTCACTGGTAGGCACTGATATGTGGCATTGATGTGGCACTGATGGGCACTGGCACGAGGGCACTGACACAAGGCACTGATGGACACTGACAGGTGGCACTGCTGGGGCTACACTGATCATCAGGGCACACTGATAATCAGTGCTTTGATGATCTGTGTACATGTCCCCTCCGAGGAATGCCGATTACTGGCTCTCCTCTCTTCTCGAGCTGTCAACATGACAGCTCGAGAGGAGAGAAATGCCGATAACCGACATTTCCCTGTTTACATGTGATAAGCTGTGATTGGACACAGCTGATCACATGACTGAGCTGACATCTTCGGCTCGTTCCGTGATTGGTGATCAGCTGTGTCCGAGGGACACAGCGCACCGCCGATCGCCGCGCGCTCCCTGATCCGCGCGCATGCGCGGTGAGAATGGGAGGACGTCGTATGACATCCTCCCAGAACGAGAGAACCACCTTGCGTCCGTCATATTACTGTATGGCGGGCGGGAGGTGGTTAATCTAACATGTTCGGGGGATCAGGAAGGAATGTTTTCCCCTGCAAGAACAAATTGGATCATGCTTTGCTGGGTTTTTTTGCCTTCCTCTGGATCAACTGTGGGTGTAGAATTATAAATTTTTTTTTTTTATGGTTAAACTGGATGGACTTTTTTGTCTTTTTTTAGCCAGACTAACTATGTGACCCATACACTATACAATTTTCTGTCCAATTTCTGCCCAATTTCCTTTAGATTTACCTTCAACTATGTAGTGCAAGAGTCTGCCTAATTGGATACAATTGAAATTGTTGTTCAGTTTGACCTATTATATGGTTTTTGGTAAATCTAAAGCAAAAATCTCAAGAAAATTGTATAATGTATGGCCAGCCTTATTTCACAAGGCAAACGTGCTCTAACACTAGTGTACAATGTAGAGGTGCAAATATAGCGTGCGGCCATAGCATCCAATCATCATTTATCTTTAATTAATCTGAGAAACAGGAATCTGATTGTTTGATATGGGGCTCTAAACGTTGTACATCATCTCTTTCCTATGTACTCATAAGCTTGATATAAATCTGAAAATTTTAAATTACTTTTACAATTTTTAAATGAAAAAGCCTAGATCTGTCCGTTATGGACATGTTGAATTCTGCTCTTTGCTCTGTGCTTTTACAGCAGCAGTTGTTAATAGATGAATCTGGATCTTCTAGCAGCTAATGAGTTACACAAGGACTGGAAGCCAAGCTCAATACGCTACCAGCATACTGTACAAACTGCAGCCGGCTTGTCTACATTTAAATGGACCTTGCTCCTTCCTTCTAGTTATAGAAGCAGTGCAGCCTGCGATCTTTGGACTCGGTAATCAGCCAGTTTTCTCTGCTATTCTTCCTTTACAGCCAAGTACTGTTGCAACTGGAGCCATCTCCTCTTGTGTCCAGCACACACAGACGACTGCAAAGAAATCACTGCAGCCATTATTTAAATCCCTCATACAATGTCAGCACACATACCCAGAGCCCTATTAATATCATTAATGATAAAGGCAGACAAGGTTTACTTTGCTGGATTGGAGGCATCTTTTTCACTTGCATTCCAATAAAATGCAATTTCCTAAATATACCGTCTTTCCCCGAAAATAACACACCGTCTTATATTTTTTTTGACTAGGTCTTATTTCTGGGGTAGGTCTTATTTTTTAAATGTCCAGGTGTGGACAGGGGGTGCAGAGGTGAGCTGCAGGCAGTTGTGGATGAGGGTTACTATGGAGAGGGCCGGTTGATGACAGTTGTGAGCTGCAGTCAGGTGTTGCAGGGGTGACTTGACAGGTGAGTTTCAGACAGGGTGCAGATATGATCCACAGACAGGGTGCAGGAGTGAGTTACAGACGGGAAATGCAGAGCTGAGCTGTGGCAGGGGGGTGCAGAGCCGAGCTATGGCCGGGGGGTGCAGAGCTGAGCTGTGGCCTGTGGGTGCAGAGCTGAGCTGTGGCCGGTGGGGGGGGGTGCAGAGCTGAGCTGTGGCCTGGGGGTGCAGAGCTGAGCTGTGGCCTGGGGGGTGCAGAGGTGAGCTGTGGGGGGGGTGCAGAGGGGAGCTGTGGCCGGGGGGTGCAGAGGTGAGCTGTGGCCGGGGGGGGGGTGCAGAGGTGAGCTGTGGCCGGGGGGTGCAGAGGTGAGCTGTGGCCGGGGGGTGCAGAGCTGAGCTGTGGCCGGGGGGTGCAGAGCTGAGCTGTGGCCGGGGGGTGCAGAGCTGAGCTGTGGCCAGGGGGTGCAGACCTGAGCTGTAGCCAGGGGGTGCAGAGCTGAGCTGTGGGCTGCAGAGCTGAGCTTTGGCCGGGGAGTGCAGAGCTGAGCTGTGGCCGGGGGGTGCAGAGCTGAGCTGTGGCCGGGGGGGTGCAGAGCTGAGCTGTGGCCGGGGGGTGCAGAGCTGAGCTGTGGCCCGGGGGGGTGCAGAGCTGAGCTGTGGCCGGGGGGTGCAGAGCTGAGCTGTGGCCGGGGGGTGCAGAGCTGAGCTGTGGCCGGGGGGTGCAGAGCTGAGCTGTGGCCGGGGGGTGCAGAGCTGAGCTGTGGCCAGGGGGGTGCAGAGCTGAGCTGTGGCTGGGGGGTGCAGAGCTGTGCTGTGGGCTGCAGAGCTGAGCTTTGGCCGGGGAGTGCAGAGCTGAGCTGTGGCCGGGGGGTGCAGAGCTGAGCTGTGGCCGGGGGGTGCAGAGCTGAGCTGTGGCCGAGGGGTGCAGAGCTTAGCTGTGGCTGGGGGGTGCAGAGCTGAGCTGTGGCCAGGAGGTGCAGAGCTGAGCTGGCCGGGGAGTGCAGAGCTGAGCTTTGGCTGGGGGGTGCAGAGCTGAGGTGTGGCCGGGGGGTGCAGAGCTGAGCTGAGCTGTGGCCGGGGGGTGCAGAGCTGAGCTGTGGCCGGGGAGTGCAGAGCTGAGCTTTGGCTGGGGGGTGCAAAGGTGGGTTGCAACTTGGCTCACCTCTGCACCCCCCCCAGCCGCAGCTCACCTATGCACCCTGTCTGCAAATCACCTGACTCAATTTACCTCTGCAACACCTGACTGCAGCTCACCTTTGCACATCCCCCCCTCCCCCTCCACTGCCCTCATATGGTTAGCTAGCTTTGCAAAACACAGCTGTCAGCAGCCAGCCCCCTCTCTATAGTAACTCCCATTTCGGGTCCTATCTTCCCCCACACAGTGCACCAAGCGCACTCACTCACCGCTCCGCCTCTTCCCCACTGACCGGTGATCACCCCTGGGGCATCAGCTTCCATGCATTAAAATGCAGGAGGAGATGTCCTGCCTCTATACACACTGCACCCGCAGATATCTGTTCCTTCCCTGTCCCACAGTGAGTACAGAGGTAGGGAGGTTCTGTGGGAGCGGATGGTGCCTTCACTTCAACCGAGCTTCTGTGTTTATAAGAGACAGCAGATATGGGTGTGCGGAGGGCCAGTGCCGGAAGTAGTAGTGGAATGGTGTTCCGCCATGTTCCAGCTGAAAAAAAGCCCTGATCACAACTAGGTCTTATTTTCAGGGTAGGTCTTATTTTAGGGGAAACAGGGTACTTAGCAAAGAGGAATGATACATTTCTGAATTCAGGAGACGGCCTTTCTGAAAATCTAGCAGTCACATAAATGATCTTTCTTTTGAAATACTGTAGTTGTGGCTTTGTCTAATAACTTGTTATGGAGTATGCCCACTTCTTAGCGGAAGTGACGTGAAAGCGGTGGACACCCTGGGCCTAGCACTGATCATGGCTGTAGAAGCTACTTGGCCTTAATTTTGTTAAAGGGTCAGTCCTCCCAAAAGTGGTATTTTGGATGGTAATATTTATGGGACATTTAGGTGGAGTCAGGAATAAGCGAGTCCCTGGCTGTCTTTACATCTTGAATATTTCAGCAGTGAGATCTCCCTATTATAACATAAGATAATTGATGCTGCAAGGAAGATTGTTGGTGTATTCTCCTGTGTATGATAATTGCAATAATACTAATAATACCATCATTCACTAGGGTAGACGTAATTTCCAGAGTTAGCTGAAATATACCAGTTTCATGGCAATGGATTGTCCAAATGTGTTACAATACACAGCAAAAAAGGATGTCCTGAGTGCCATGCTAGTGACATTGCCTAGGCTGAGAAGATGTCATCAGTCTGCTCCAGGCAGGAAGCATTTTCTTCATCTCCTCTCTCCCCCAGTGAATAAACTGCAACATTGTACCAAGTTACAAGGGGAGGGAAGGGACTGTAGCAGAGGGCTGATCTGTTTCTGACAGTTGTGAACACAGCATAGAACTGAACAGGCACCAGGGTTTACATGTCTATATCATCGCTAAGGCCTCATGTACACTGCAGCTGATAAACTCACGTTTAGGAGCTGTTTAGCGTTTTTTTCAGCAGCCCCTGAACTCACCCTAATGTTTTCCTATGTCTCCACGTACACATCTTCGTTTATAGTCGTTTACAGGCAGTTGAGTTTACAGTCGTTTTTTTGAACGCACCAAACTTGCATTCAGATGTTGATGTTATCAGCTTTTCAAACGCAAAACACTTGTAAATGCGTCTAAATGCGGCAAATCACGTTTATAAGCGTTTGAAAATTATTTTTAACTCTTCCAGTTCCTGATGCTGTCCAGAACCTTTTTTCAGCATGAAAAATGCATGCAAAGCATTTTCAAGGTGCTCAGATGGACAAAACACTGAAAACAGGATGTTCCTACCAAGCTTGTCACACATTGTAATGACCAATTCACACCTCAGTCCTCTCCCACCCTTGGAAACAAAAGATATGTTAATGACCATTCACACCTCAAATACCTCATGAAGACCCCCTGCCAGGTGGCCTTAATGTTTCACTCCACCAGACACCTTTCCACCCTTGGAAACAAAAGAAATGTTAATGAGCAACTCACACCTAAGCTAATCTCAACACATACAGCTGTCTCTGCTTCTACTCTCTGTATTTCTCTGAAACAGTCTGAAATAGTTAATAATTTACCACTTTTAAGTGCATTTTGGGCATTTGGGAGGTTCTACTGTGCGAATCTTTAAAAAATGCTTCTAACGCAAACGCACATAAACACGTTATGCAAACGCAGCTAAACAGACTTTTTTTACCTACATTTTCCAGCAGTCAGTTTCCATTGTTCAGAAGTGTCCCATGTACATGGGGTCTAAGCCAGCATCATAGTCCAGGAAGTAAATGCTGATCCTTGAAAAACTGAACAAATATGGTTCTGTCCTTCTTGAGAAAAAAAGCATGAAAGCACTATCCAGAGGATTGCTGTGATCTCTACTTACTTAACATGCATTCACCAAACTTGAAAATCTGTATCTCATGCTAGGTCCATTTTAAGAAACCTGAGCTGAAACAGTGG